GAAGTGCCAGCTTAAAAAAATGTGGTTTGTTGGTAAACTTTCCACAGGAAGTTGCTTAACTTTTTTTTTTTTTTTTTAACCTGCTTCCTTGTGAAGGACTATAACCACTAGCTACCTCTTGCTTTCAGTTCTGACTGAAGTAGCTGTATTGGTCGAGAGTGATGAACGGGCTCTGTGGCTGGGAATCGCATGGGGGTATCTGTTGGTGCATGCCTAACACCTCCAGGGTTAATGATCTCTAGCAATCCTGCTTGAAAAAACTGCAGAAGAAGGGGCTTTCCATGAACTCATCCACCCTCTGTCCGATGTCTATAAGGGTAAAACTTAACGCCGGCTGTATTCTTCTTTCTCTCTCTCAGGTCAATACCCAACACAGCCTTCCTACCCAGTCCAGCCCCCTGGTAATCCTCCAGTGTATCCACAGACCATGCCTCTTCCTCAGCCACCACCGTACACTGATGCGCCTCCTGCTTACTCAGAGGTATAAGGCATGGCCCTTTTCTTGCTCTTGCACCTTTTCTCCCCTCCAGCCTCCCATTTTGAGCTATTAACAAGTGACAACTCATTGCCTGTATTTCTGGCAGCTTGGAACACCTTTCATCTCATAGGACAAGAGCAGCAAGCGGTCTCAACTGATGATTGCTAAATGATTGCTCATTGACAAAGCCAATGAGACCTCTGTCCCAAAGTGCATGTGTACGTGCTCACTTGGTGACCAAACCAGGGTGCTATTCGGGCATTTCCTCTTGCAGATCCTGAATTGGCCCACTCTCTTAAATGGCAGAAACTTCCTTCACAGCTTCCCACAAAGTGGCTGCTATGGTGCAAAAGCAAAGTAGAGGGTCTGACTAGAGGGTGTTGTGCCTCAACCTCCCGTAAAGTGAACAAACTTCTCGTTAGAAGTGATGGAGCTATCTGTGCAGCTGATTGGGCTGCTAAGCCTTTATCACATTATCAGCACTTTGAGGAAGGATCTGAGGAAATGGCTTTGGAGCAAGGAATATCTCTTCCAATGCACTTGTGTTCTTTTTTCCCTTCAGCTCTACCGGCCAAGCTTTGTGCCTCCAGGGCCTGCCACCGTGCCCACTATGTCTGCTGCCTATCCTGGTACTTCTCTGTTCCTGCCTGTGGCACAATCTGTGGCTGTGGGACCCATAGGCTCCTCCGTTCCAATGGCATACTACCCTGTGGGCCCTGTCTATCCCCCAGGCTCAGCGGTTCTTGTCGAGGGTGGCTTTGATGCTGGAGCACGGTTTGGAGCTGGTGCCACTACTAATATCCCTGTAAGTATGAGCATACCACAGAAACCCCATGTGTCACTTTTGGAGCTACTCAGTAAAGCTGGCAGTCGGGGGCAAGACGACAGTCCTTAAGTCTTCAACACCAGGCATTTTCTCATAAGCATTTAAGCACAATTTCACAAGCAGGTTCATGGAAATTTCGAGAGAGAGTAGGCAGACACTTGATTGGGGTGGCTTAGCTGGGGATGATCCTGAGCAGGGGGCTGGACTAGATGATCTCATGAGGTACCTTCCAGCCCTGCTTTCCTATGATCTTATAATTGGCTGCAAACTGAGTGCTGGTGTTTGGCTCTCTGTGCTATAAGATGCATCTTGTACTCTGGCTGTTGTCCATTATGCTTGGAGATGGATGAGAAGCCAAGTCTGCATTAAGTCCTTCCTCTTCCACTGCCTTTACCAGTCCCTTGCCTTTCTTGTTCCCAGTTCAGACGGTGTGCGTAAGGTGCTTTCCATCACTTCTGGTTGCTTGTGGTCACAGTTAAGTAGTCACTGAAGGCTGTCCTCTCTGCTGTGCTCGTGCAAAGGGGAGCATCTTCACTGTGCTCCAAGATGTCTTCTGTGCTAGGCTGAACGACCACTGCAGCCTCTGCCTCAGAGATCCTCTTAACTCTTTTTTTTTCCCTCTCTCTCTTGTCTTGCAGCCCCCACCTCCTGGCTGCCCTCCCAATGCAGCCCAGCTGGCAGTCATGCAGGGTGCCAATGTGTTGGTGACGCAACGGAAGGGGAACTTCTTTCTGGGGGGCTCGGATGGTGGCTACACTATCTGGTGAACAATCAAGTCAAACAAAAAGGGGGCGCGAGGGGGGTGGGGGGAGGGGGCTTCATTTGTGTAAGGAAAGACATCACATACTGTCAGCACTTCTCACCATGTAACTGCTTTAGTCATATTAACCTGAAGTTGCAGTTTAGACACATACTGGATGGGGCATCCTCTTGATGCCCATCCCTTCAGGCACTTTGAGTCCTTTCGAACCATGTCATGGTAGCAGTGCCTCTATTCACCCGGGGTTAAATCATGAAATGAACGTGAGCTAAGGAGCCCCACAGAGCTTCTTTTTAATTCCACTGGAGTAAATACTGTAGCACTGTCTCTTTTTTTTTTTTTTTTTGGCTTTATTAATCAGCTAGGTATGAATTTGGCTGTGGGGGCGGGAAAGGGTTAGGAAAGAAACCTGGCTTCCACATCTAATCCGTGCAGACCTGTCTCAACTCTATGGCCTGGCAGTAGGGTTGAGAGATGCGTGTTGTGTTTCCTCTTCTATAGAATCTGTGGATAGAAAGCCAGTCACATTAATTTTTCCCTGGAGGGCCCATAGTCAGACATATAGGGCTTTTTTCCTTCCTGACTTCCTAGGAGAAGGGATCCCTTGAAGCACTCTGTGCTCACATTTGCTCTTCATTTCTCTCCAGGAAGGTATACAGCTAGAGTGTACCACGGGGTGTTCTTTTATACACTCCAAGGAATCTTGGACTTCTTTGCACATTTAAGAATCTAATCAAAGCCATGCTTTGGTGCCAGAAACACAATGCAACTCATGTTTAAACATTTCATTAAATGCTATCTAGACTTTTAAAAACTACAAGCTTAGCAACATTTTTGTTTTCTGTTTTAGAGCAGCCTGGTGTCTTGACAGCAAAATTCCTTAAGGGGATTTAGTCAGAACAGAGAGACAGGTGGTTTCCATCTGCACTGAGGTGTGTTGCAGTTGTCAGTCAGCACACAAATTTCCTTGCTCGTTTGGGTTGTTTTAGGAATGCATACTTAAAAAAAAAAATGGCTTGGGTACAGTGAAGTCTTATTAGGGTTAAGAAATATTTCAGGGATCCTCTATCTTTTGGGTTTTTGTTTTATGAAGAAAAAAAAATCAGATTTGAATATATTTTATCTTGAGGTTTCAGTTTAATCTAAGTCTGTGTATTGTGTATATGTTGTGTTTAACCATTTAACTGACTGTTATGGAAGTTCAGCATTAAGTCTTTCTCTCTGTACACACTGTGGTGCACTTAACTTGTGGATTTTTTTATACTAAAAAAAAAAAGTAGAATAAAGACTATTTTGAAAATTTGAATAAAGTGCCAAAGTTGCATTAGACCTCACAAAATACTAGGGTATTGCACAGCTTTCTTCAAGGCCTGCTTCCTCTTGCTTGCCTTCTTGCAAATCGCCTCTAGGTAGATCTTGTACAAGGGAAAACTAAACTTGAAGTGGGAGTGAAAGACTGGGGTTAGGGGGAGAGAGAACAGGACTTGCTGAGCTCTTCACCAAGCTTCGTACCCAAACGTGGTGAAAAAAATGAACAGAGAAAAGGATGGACTGACTTGTGGCTGTCCCAAATTGTGTTCTGGGTAAGTGAAGTAGGGTCAAGTTAAAATACAAAGTGCAATGCATTTGCGGAGTTCTGCTCCGTTTGCTGGAAACGGTTGTGCTACTGCAGAAGATTTCACTGTAACCTCAGGGCAAACCCAAGTGTTTTAGACTGGTTCAGCCAATTCACTCCAATTTGGTTACTTTTATTATAGTGCTGCCTAAGGGCCAACAAAGAATGCAGCTGCATTGTTTTAAAGTCTCAGGCGCCAGGGGGTATGCCTGTGCTGGAGTGATTGCAGCGTGATTAGGTCTACCCAGGCTGACTTTCATCTAGGTAGCCTGGGTAACAGCGGCAGCAAGGGGTGTGTGTGTGTGTGTGTGTGTGTGTGTGGTAGTCTTCAAGGGACTGCTAGGCCATGCTGAAATTGGTGCTACTGTGTCTGCCATTGCCTGACCTAGCATGAATATACCTTTCTTCGTGCATATGCATACATGGCTGTGTAGATATACCCACCACAAGACACCTGCGAGGTGGAAAAGGCATTTTAACAGGAGCAGACTGAACAGTAATGATAGCAGCCAGCTGCGTTCCACCATTTCTTCTGCAAAAAGAGTGCCTTATCCTGGAGTTAGCTTCGTCCATTTTAGAAAAGAATTGACACAAGGAATTAATTGAGAACAAACATTATGGAAGAGCTGCCCTTATTAACAAGTCCCGGGCAGGGTGTTGCCCCAGAAGTCTGAGGTGCTCTGCCCAAGCACGAGGGTCTGGTCCACTTGCTATCTAGTTGAAGGTGAAATAATGGTTTAGAGCTGGCTTTACTGACGTGGGCATCTCAACTCCACACTAACTTATACCTACCACTAGGTATTTATACCGCCAGGTGGCAGCAGTGCTCACTTCTCACCAGCCCCTTGGGCAAATGCTTTGGAAGTAACAAGAGGAGGGTTTGCTTTCAGAGCTTTGTGTGTCAAGGACAATGGGCTTTGTGCGGCAGGGTCTGATTGATAAGCAGGGCAGAGGCTCCCTTTGCTCAGCCTTCCCTCAATGCTGCTAAGGAAGAGACTGGTAACAGAGATTGCAGCCACTTAGGGAGATTTTTTTTTTTTAGCCCTTGGAGTTAACTCTCTTGTTTAGGAATGTAAATGCCATTGGGTTTTTGTCTCATTTGAGGGAAGTGGCACAGTCCCAGGAGAAGGGCAGTGAAGGGAGTTCTGGGTTCTGCCCCCAACTCTGCTACTGCCTCACAACATTGTCTTGTCCTTTAAGCTTAAGTGTGGTAGGAGCAGAAATGATCTCACCCCATTGCCCCCATAATCTGTGGATGCTACTTTAAGCATATCAGTTTGACCCTTAATCCATTCCCCCATCCCTTGGAGCAACTGAGCAGAGAAACACAAACAAGCTGTACAGATATCTGGCCAATCAACTGTATTGCAAGTCATGGAGAAGGAAGTGCCAACCACCAGCTATTCCTGCCACTGGCAAGCCTCCTCCCCATCCTGCTCACCTCTCTCATTACAGGGGTGATATACTGGCTTTCCATTAGAGTCTGTGCAGTAGAACTATGATCAAGGCTAGTAGTCACCCATTACACCTTTCTTTCCTTGATCAAGTTAATAAATTAAGGAGGAGAAAAAGTCTTTCGAATTCAGAGTCTGGGAGGGCCTGGGCTCATTGGCATCAAAGCTGAGAACAGCTTAGAAGCTGAAGGGAATCAAATGAAATACTCTTCCTTTTCTCCTTTGGGAGGCACGTTCTCCATCTGTACTGATACATCAGGCTCTGTGTTTGATTGTTCATAGGTGAGGTAAGTGCCTTTATTCTTGTATAGGTACACGATGATCACCACCAGGACGGTCAGGAGGGTGATGAAAACCACAGCGATGACACCTTCCGGAGGAGAAGGGAAAAATTAGATGAAAGAAAGGTTGCAGAGTTAATTCTTAGGTCCTTCTTACTGTAGTTACCCATGGCAGCTAAATTGAAATGAGCTGGGCTATCACCACACTTTCATGTTATCCTTCAGATTCCCCTTAAAGAGGACTTGTGAGATATTAAAACTCCTCTCTCCGGAAGAGCTTAGTTGCTATCAGCTGGATAATAGGGACCTTGTTCCCATCTCTTAAGTTATCATCGTCAAATCCTTATTGATATGAACTGTAACACTCCCAGCATACATATCTGAAAGCAAGCTCTGAAGGCCTGTGTTAGGAACTGCTCAATTCAGGGGTTGCAATCAAACCTGTTGCTGTAGCAGAAATATTAGTTTTTCCCCCTGGGATCAAGCTGGATTCTGCTGCACTGAATGTATAAAGGATTAAGGCAGGGGTGGGCAAAATGTGGCCCGCCAGGCCATTCTATCTGGCCCGTGGGGCCCCTAAAAAATTTAGAAAGTTAATATTTATCTGCCTCTGGCTGCCTGTCATGCTGCTCTCGATGGTTTGCCAAAACTCAATAAGCGGCCCTCCACCCGAAATAATGCCCGCCCCTGGATTAAGGTCAGGAGTGTTTTACCCAGAAAGCACAGACTGGTGTCTAGCAGGCCAGTGTGGCTCAGAGACCAGAGTGATGGCCCATGCACTGCTTGGGATCAAGGAAACCTTAAGCGTACAGTGGTAATAACACATTACTTGCAATGACGGCCACATTGACTTCCTCTTGGAGAGCTGGTGTATACATCTTCTTCATAAATGGGGTGGTTAGGTCCTCTTTATTGTGCCAGGTATTGAATGAAGGACAGAGAGGGGGAGGCAAGAAAGGAGAAGAATGAATGAGGCTGTAATTGATCTTCAAGGTACTTAAAATGGACCCAGTCTTTGGAGGGGCTCAATTATATTAGTGTATACTGGTCTCCCACTAGGACCTGCTTACAACAAACCATTCTCAAAAGAGTGATGGCTGGAAACCAGGAAGCAACAGGCAGTTCAGGCCACCTTCTGGGGATGTCAGTGGTACAAAACGTCTATTAGGATCTCCAAATTTTCCTCCATTCAAGACCGTGGCGCTTGGTATTCCAGGTGGGATAAGTTTAGCATTCAACATTATGAAACTGGGCTGTGTCCTGCATGGCACTGTATGGACAGCAGCAGCATCCAGGAAAACAGCAATGAGCAGCTCCATTCTGAAGTCTTTTGTAGGCAGTAGGGGGGATGTTGCAGTGTAGACACCCCCCCCTCCTGCTGCAGCCACTGCTGTCTGCAGCTGATCTGGGCCCAGGAGGAGCTCTAGAGCTGCTCCGGTGGTGGCTGCGGTTGTGTGGGATGCCAACAGCAGTGGAGCTGCCAGGGTCCTCCTTCCAGTGTCTGCTCCCTGCCCACCTTTCCCCTGCTGGTGTCCCTTGCTGGCTGGGAGCAGGCGCTGGAAGGAAGAACCTGCACACCACCACCACTGTCTGAATGACATAGGCACGAAGGGAACCCCAGAGCTGCAAGGAGCAGCTGCATGGGCAGCTGGGTTTGGCCAGGACAGCGATGGTGGCACTCAGGTTCCTCCTTCCAGCACCTGTTCCTGGTCAGCTGGGGACAATCAGAAGAGTAGGGTGGGCAGGAAGTGCTCTCTACCTGAAATCAGTTCTCCTGGCTAAGTTTGGTTTGAGGAATGGGTGAATCGGGTGTCTTTTCACATGGGGGGAACTGCAAGAGGTATTTCACAAGGCCGGGGGAGAAACCCAGAAACAACATGGATATAAGCTGCATGCAGCTGTTCATTTATATTAATGAGTTTGTTTGCATTCACACATCTCTCTACCATCAGGCTGATATTAACTCCTGTCTCCCCTGTTAGGGTGTTGGATTTCGTATCGTACAAGACGCTTTTCTTTTGAGAGCTACAACACCAAGCCATGAATTATTGATTCCTGACTCGGCATATGCAATCTGTCAAGGTTTTGTACATTTCATACCTGTATTTAATGGAAGTGTTGGATCAACTTCCATGACATCTGCTTGAGCTGTGCCACTATGCTCTGTCTTCAAATTGAAGTGTTAGTATCTTCAAGCACTACAGGACGGAAGCGGGGTGCGGGGGAGAGAAAAAAGCAGAAAAATAATATTAAATGAGAGAATTAACTTATTGTTTATTCACGTTAAGCTACTGATTCCAGTGAGCTAGGTGTGGCAGGAACACAGGACTCGCCCTGCCGGAAAATAAAGCAAAAACTCAAATCTAATTTAGTGCAGACCTCACCTGAAATAGATAAGAAAGGCCAAACCAAGAACATGCTAAGGCAAGCGGAGATTAGGGAAGCATGTGCTATTGTGCATCTTTAAGCCAGTCCTGCCCTGCCTGGAGGACAACATCCTGATACTTAAGTAGTGAAATAGGGAAACCATGTGCATTTTTTCCAGTTGGTTCTTAGATTTGATTGAAAGATCCCATAAAGAAATGTATTCCTTCAAAAAGCCTTCCATGTAGCAACCAGTAAATTCCTGGTAAATGCTCCACAAGAAAATGCTTTTCTTTATGTCACCAAAGCAGACACATCAAGGCTACAATGTCCAGCCCTTAGATTTGGGCCATGCAGGGTCTGATTTGATGGTTAACAATTTCCCAGCTATGGAAATGCTCAGATGGGCATCCAAAACAGGAGGGAATTTGGAAAGTGTTGGCCAGCACGATTTGTCCCAGGTCACATAGGTTAGTATTCCTGGGCCCAGACTCAAGTGACTAGACTTGAATATTCTCGATTTCCATTTGCCTTTTGACCAGACCTAGGCAGGGATTTCAACTATTTCCCCTCATTTTTTTGGAAAATGCAGGTGTGTCCAAACTGGAATATGTCAGTTCCATCAAAACTTCATGAAGGTTTTTATAGTTGGAGGAGTTTGATCCACCCTTCCTGAATAGCCAATATGCCAGCCACTTTCCCCCTTGCACAGATTATCTAGGTTCAACTTCTAAACCAGGGACAGCAGGGATTGAACAAGGTTTCTTGTATGTCCCAGGCGTGACGTAACCTTTGGGCTATAGGCAGCTCGTCCTAGCTCGGGAAGTGTTAGTCTTGCTCTGCTTTGCTTTTGTTTTCTGGTGGCATAGTCTCCGTGTTGTCCAGCTGTGGAACCAGGAAACATTTCTGAAGATCTCAACAAGTTTTATGGGACAGGAAAACCAGTTCCTGCCCAGCTGTACCTTTCACAGCAACATCCCAACAATGGGCTATTAATAGTCCACACCCAGAGAAGGATGCACATATGTGTGTGTGTGTGTGTGTGTGCAGTGGGAACATGGGAACTCAGGTGGGAATATGTGGCCTCTGATAACACGATCACATCTTTTGTCATGATATCGTGGTAAACGGGCTCCTTTTTAATAATTGTCCTGGGGACACTCAGTGAACACTTTTCATTTATTTCTAAAACTTCTTTTGCTCAGCTGACAATCCAGGAATGAAACAAGCCCTGACGTGCAAGGTGACTGGGTGAGTAGGCTCGCCTGCCTTATCACATCCTGCTGTGCTGTTTTGCCTTGTGCAGTCCAGGTGCCTGCCTCGTCTCCAAGACCAAAGTGCTGCAGTCTTGTCCTTCTGCAAAGACCCCTCCCAAACATTTTGTCAAATAGCCATGCAATATGTTCCCATCTCCATAGTTTCAACGGCAGCTGCAGTGCAATTCAGGCAGGACCTTGTGTATTTTACTAGGCAGGGCTTTGCTGAAGGCACACAGACTTTGGAACAAGGTGCACCATGCAAAAGCGGTTGCAATAACACAGCAACAGTTCCTTTCCCTTCCTCACCAGCGACCCAGAGTCTGTTCTGTCCAGAAACAGCCCACTGGGGAGCAGGCTTCACCAGAGCGGCTCAACGCCAGCCCATCTAGGTCAGCGTAGCTGATCCTCTTAACAGCATTGTTCTTTGCATTTAAAAACACCTTGTTACATTAAGTGAGTTGTCTCAAAGCAACAAAGCAAGGCTCAACCATTGCATTATCTATTGAAATGGAAAATACTTTGGATCCAAATTCATTTTTGCTATTTACGCTCTAAGTTTGTGCTTCGCTCACTGAGACGATACAGCCTGGCCTTTCCCAGCCTGCTAGCATGTTGTGCCTACCTGCCATTCCTTCATTTCCTATTTGTTGGCACCACATCCCAAAGCAGTGATTCTCAACTAGGGTGCCGGGGTACCCTGGAGTGCCATGAAATCCTTTTAGGGGTGCTGCAGAGCACCGAGCCATATCAGTACAGAGAGGTGTGCAAACATCTATGCATGATTCATGAGATAAACCCAGAGATTTCAAATGGGACTCTATGGGGTCAAATACATCCTACCCTGCTGGGGTCTTTCTGAGCTCTTTGCAACAGAAAAATTACTCTAGTAATTTTTCCGTAGTCAAAAAATGGGTAAAAGCCCATCAGCTGGCATGTTCCGAGGGGGCCCAAGTCCAACAGCACAGGGTGGGAGGGCCTTGAGTCTCAAAAGGTTGAGGGCCACTGACCTAATGCAGTGGGGACTAACCTTGTTGGCAGGAATGGCCGTTAGCAGACATACCACAAATTAGTCCCTCACCCTCTCCCAGTGCCATTCTGATCCCCTTCCCCTGCCCAATCTGCTGCTCTGCTTTCTGCTCCCTGCCCCATCTGAGCTGTCCTGTCCCATGTGCCACGTGCTGCACAAAGTTGCCTTTGCCACTCGTGACACGCGGGCTGCTGGTTGGCCACCCCTGCCCTAATGCTATTAAGCTAGAGCTATTAAGTGCCACCACGGTACAAATTGGCCTGTGCATCCATGAAACAACACCTCACGCTGGAGTCCCAGCTGAGCAGGGGGAAGCAGCTTGTGCATGAGTTATTTCTCTCAGACCTGCAGAGGCAGGGAGGGATAGAGCTCTCCCACCCCCTTCTCCTTCCCAAAATGCAGCAGTCAGCAGGTCCCAGCAGACGTGAAATGGGAAGTAACCCCTGCTGAAACACAGGGAGGGCAGGTCCCTTCCCTGTGCCGCCAAAGCAAAACAGGGCACTCTGACTCTGAGTCACAGATCAGCCTAGCTTCCTGCAGCCACTCCCTAGGGTCCAATAGCAGCGGGCTTGATCTGGACAATGCAAATAAATGGATCAGCTTCACTTAGTTGTGGCAGTTTTACTGTACTCACCAGATCTCAGCTTTTATTGCTGTGCCCAGCAGCATGGGCTGACGCTGCAATCCCTGCAAAGGAGTTCCCTAAATCGCACCCAGAACCCCTGTCTGTTGAATACAATATGTGGACCTTGCAACAGCGATCCCTTTTGCAAATGCTAGTGCCTGAATTGTGGCTCTGACACTGGGCGAAGCTGCTGTAACGATGCTTGAATCCAGTTAGAGACCTTCTCCTAGTCTGACAGTCATAAGGTGTCAGCCGGGGACGTTCAGACAGACAGCAAGTGACCAAGAAAGTCAGAGGGGGCTTTCCCAAGCTAATTGCTGCTTTAAAGCCAGGAGCATTTGCCTGCAGTCAGCTCAGCTGCACACAGGTCCTGAGGCATAGCGTCTCCAAGGTGTCAGCTTCTAAATGGATGAAAGCTCACATTGAGAGTGAAAATTGGGTATTTCCACAGCCATCAGACAACCAGCAAACCAGTCAGACTGGTAAAGGCTAGCCCAGCCCAGGGTATCCTGCACTGGAGAAGTTATATCACATCATTTCTACATAACCATAGCACAGCACTGGGACCTGTCCAGCTGAGCACCAAAGCATGAGCACAAAACACAATATACAACTACAACCGCCACTCGCCCAAGGAACAGAGTGACCCAGGAGTCACTGCGACCTGCCAAACTCTGGTGTTGCAGCAAGAGGCTGCAAAGAAGGAATAAACCTCAAACAGCAGCAATCAAGACGAAGGTCCCAGTGCCTACAAAGGCAGAGGGAAGCCAGGGAGACAGACCTTTTCCAAGCGCTGCCAAGTTCACCCTTCCTCGCTGTACCTGGGTATCAAAGTGTGATGCCCTTAAGGCCTGGGAATAAAGAGTGATTGGATGTAATAAACTCAGCGAGGGGCTGAATACAGTCTCTGCAAAGAGTTTATGCTCCCAGCTTGCTGGCTACAGGATCAGCTGCCCGGGAAGGTGGAGGGGTGGGGGAGGTATCAGAGACATATAAAGGATTCAGCTACAAAGCTGAACAGCTGAGAGGTGTTTAGCCTGCCAGGGGGTTGGAAACCAATGGGTCTCTGCACAGCTCTGGTCCCTCATGGGGCGACTGAGTGTCTCCGACCCGTGTGGGGCTACTCACGTACACGTGGGTTGGAAGGTCAGGCCCTGGCAGGACAAGCTGCTGGCTGCTCTGGTCATCCAGCTGCTGAAGCTTGCAAGTCTAGTGCTGTTCCTCTGGCCTCAGCGCTGATTGGGTGCATTTCCACGGTGACTCACTTCCCTGACACACTGCTGAGTGTTTTCTTCTCTGTGTGTGTGCTTTTAAAGTGACACGGTGTGGCAGGGAAAGCCTCCAGTCTCGCTCCCTGGAGCTGCCCAGCTCCCCTGGTCCAGGCCGATCCTCGGGCAATGAGGTACAATGACACCCAGGCAGGTTGTGCTTATCAAGGCTTTAGGGATGGGTGCTTTTGGGGTTGCACGCAGCAAGGGGTGAGGCAGACTGAACCCCTTCAGCACCCTGTCTCTTAGCGGCATGGCCAGCCGAGACTGAGAGGGATCCTTTCTGTGGATAGGAGTGCGAGGAGTGTTTCATCTCCCAGCCCACCTTACCATCGACCTTTGCCGAGAGCGTTATATTAAGGAAAGTGATTGCTTATTTGTACTGCAATAGTAGCTAGGAACCCCAGCAAGGGACCTCTAGTACTTACCTAGCAGGGGAGGTGGATTCCAGTCTAGGTGGTTTTACTGACCTGGCAGGGGAGATCCCCTTCTTCTTGGCCTTGAATGACTTGGTGTGGTTGAGGGTGGAGACCTGTCCCTTGCACTGCGGGCAGGCTGACCCCTGCCAGAGTCTGTCATGCCTCCAATGGGAGGATTTCAGCTACACAATTTATGGTGATGGGGGATTGCTCTCAGGCTTTCTCTATAGCTTGCTCCTTTGGCCTTTTGGCTTGGGGCAAGGGTGATTAGGGGGCATCTGAACTCCAAGGCCTCCGGGCTTGGGACTTGCACGTAGGATGCCTGCCATGGATTTGGGATTATCTGAAGCCCAAGGATGAGGAATTTGAGAGGGAGAAGACTTACTGGTGGTAGCACCACACTGACTTGAATGACTGAGCTCTGCTCAGTCAATGGAATTCGGACCTGATTTGGCAGATTTGGCCTGAGACATGACATTTCAAAAAAATCCAGTGCAACAATCGCCTTTCCTAAACCATCACAGAGAGAGTCTGCCTATAAGCTTCCAAGGCAGGAGATACTGCAGCTTCTTGGAGCAGGGCCCCATCCATATCTGGGTTCATGAAAGCAGTTTTCCTTAAGCGCTCCCAGAGATAACTGTTTTTCTGGCGTGGTTTAGCACCTGCCGAGGTGCTGGGGCTTAAAGCCCACTTTATGGAAATGGGAGGTACCTCTCCAGCTTGCTCTTGTGGCCATATGGCTGAGAGCAGGTGAAACTTGGGGGCATCTGAGCCCCAAGCCTCTGGGTTTGGGCCTGCTCATAGGATACCCACCAAAAGACTTTGGAAACATCTGAACCCCTAGTGGGGTTAGGGTTAGGGTTAGCACGATTCTCCCTCACCTCTTCTTTCCCAATTCTGCAGACCCAGTCTTTCTCTTCCCGGGGATGCCTGGATCACAATTCCCCGGTGCTTGCTAGAGGCTTTTCTGGACCCTGCCCCATTCCAATTAGGGGCAGGCCCGGGCTACGAGCTGCAACACAAAAACATTCTTTAAACCCCGCCCAAAAAACCTGTTTTGGAGAGCCCACCGGCCAACCAATGCAGCCCAGGGTCATAAGGACTGGAGTCTGCTCTGCACCCCTCCAGCTAACCTACAGCAGAATGATGCTGTGACCCTCAAACCCAGGCTGGATTCAAACCCTTGAGCTAACATCGAGAAGCTTGTTTTCATCACTTTCCTAATCCCTTCCTTCTCCTGGCCCCGGGCAACTGGTTCTGCCACCGAAGTTTTCTTCATGAAGCTGGCTGCATCCTGGCACGATTCTCCCTCACCTCTTCTCTCCCCATTCTGCAGACCAAGTCTTTCACTTCCTGGGGATGTCTGGATTACAATTCCCCGGTGCTTGCTAGAGGCTTTTCTGGACCCTGCCCCATCCCAATCCAGAGGCAGGCTCCGGGTACGAGCTGCCTGGGCGGCTGTTCCACAAAGAAGCCTTCAAACCAAGTGGGAGAGGACGGGTGAGCTGTGTTTTGCCTTCCCCCTCATCCCACTGCTGCCATCACATTGTACAAGTTCAAATGCAAGGAAGGGCTGAGGCTTGTGTATGGTTCGCAGAAGCCAGCACCAGGCAGAATTAGGAGCCTGCTTTTCAGCGGTGTTCAGCAGCTTGTGCTGGGGTACAAGCAGTAAATGAGCAGTTTGACGCTAGGTGGGTAATCAAATTCCACCCCCAGCGACCCCCAGCCGCCTGCGGTCAGTCTTTTCCTAGCCGCCCATGTCACTCTCCGGCGTGGGGCTGGGCTTGAAGCAGACCGACATGCCAGAAGGTCCCCACTGAGGCTGTGAGGCTACATGTGTTGTAAAGCAGACTGAAGTCAGAGCCGCATTGAGAAGGAGCTGTGACAAGACCCCCCCACCCCTTCCCCTTGTCCTTACCTGCTACCACCGACAGAGCAAAACGCACCACACAACACAAAGCAGCATGCAGGGTTCTCGCCCCTCTCCCAGAGCCGCTGAGTTGATGGTGTCTGACTCTAGGCGTTCCCTTCCCTCCTCACCTTTCCAGTTTTGCTGCCTTAATGATAAAGGCACAGTCATCGGAAAGCCCTTTCCTGGTTAACTCTTTGTGGGCAGGTAAGAGATGAGGCAGAATCCACAAGCCTCTAGACCAGCAAGACCTTTTCACACCCCAGGGGCCACACCACACACGGAGGCTGGAGGGATTTAGCCTGGCACCTTTATTAATATATCAGGGAGTGAAAAATCAGGGTGAAAATGCACCCAGCAGGAAGCCACTGTGGGTTTAGTATCATCTCTTCTTGGTGCTCCTTCTCAGAGCTACAAGACATCAAGGCCACTCACTAGGAACCAGCCCTTATCACACGCTTTGGGTTCGGTCACAGCTAAACTGGCATGCAGCAGAGAGAAGGGCATGGTGGAGCTGAGAAATGAGAGCAGATCTCTTGTGTATTTGGCCCTACGGTGCAGCACGGCCAGAAAATCAGACCCGGATTCTCAACCACAGAGGTCTGAGCAAGTCTCAACTCCACGAGTCATCACCAAGAGCCACGGCCTTTCCATGGGCTGACCTGGCTTGCAAGGAGGAGATGTCACTGAAGCAGTACTCTGATACACTAAAGGTCCTGAAACCAGCAAAGCACTGAAGCCAATGTGCTTAAAACTAAGCCTGTGAGTAACCCCATATACTTCAGCTGGTGTCACTTAATGTTAACCATGCGTGTCCTGCACTTGAGCCGAAACTCAGGGGTGTTTCTGAACAACAAGGAACAAAATGCTCCTGGTTGTGCCAGGGTGTAGGTTGTAGTCGTGTTGGTCTAAGGACATAGGCAGACAAGGTTCCTTGGGTGAATCTGATCTCTTTTCAACCACTGCTTCTGTTTATTTTCCCAAATCTCTTGTGACGGCAAATTCCTTCCTATCGAAAGCACTGGGGATTGATTTTTATGGGCGCTGGGGATGGGTCCCCCAGAATTGTACCTGAGTTTGTTCGTCTTCACACCAGCCCCGTGAATTCCAACCTGCCCTTCATCTCCTATCGAGAGACAGATTCTCACCCCCCCCGGTATCAGTTGGATGGTCTGAAGTTGCTGTGTGTGGCAATGCTATCTTTGGTACAGTGGCATAATGTTACGTGATGCATAAGAAGGTCCCACTTCCTGCTCTACCCTAACCAACGCTGCTGCACTGGACTCAGTCAGAGGAAACTGGTTTGATGACGTCCTGGGGAAAAGTTCCTCTCTGTACTTGTCCAGGGTTCTTGTTCCAGTCACTCTCCTTGAAGCCCGTCAACCATCCTTTCTCCTAGGAAGGAAAAGCAAGCTCACGTCAGGACTATTTTGGAAGCCAGGTGTCCTATCTGCCATTCAGCCATGAGGCGAGCCTCTTCTCTCCATCGCATGGTGATCACGCAGGTCAGGTCATGGATTCGATTCCCCCCCTCTCTCATGAGCATCCTAACCACCAGCTTGCAAGGCATTCTGGAATGGAGCTTGCTCCTGCCAGAGCCGTTTCACCGTGTGTCGCTCACACAGCCATTAAGGCTGAGTCGTAGTCAAGTCCATGTGGCTTCCCCACATAGACAAACCCTTACTCACTCCAAGATTGCAAGAGGACCGGGCCACATCCCAGGTGGGCGTTAGTCACCAACAGGAAATTCCCAAGACATCCTGGGTCCCCTCCCTTAGTTTATGGCCTAATTACAGCTCCCTAGAGCATATGCTGCCTGGAACAGGGTCACAACTATGATTGCCAGAGCTGCCTGGATCATTGCCAAGTTATGAAGGGATCAGACGTCCTGATCTGAATGGACCAGCTACAGCCAAAGGTCCCAAGTCTCCTGCCTTGGAGCAATGGAGCATCCCTCGGGGTGAGAGTTGCAGGGGCTGAACTGGAAATCCCCAGGGAATGAGGAGAGTGTGGACCTAACAAACTGTGCAATAAGGCAAGCTGCTCTGAAAAGTCTCCCTTGGGATGTTTCGCTGAAAACAGTCTGCCAAGTCCCCCACCCACCCTCCAACCTGCCCCTAAAACTGAGCCCTATCCCAGTCCCAGCCAGCATCAGCCAGAGCCAGAGCCAGCAGAGTGGAGGGGTGGTATCTCAGAGGCCAGAGTACTTGAGATAACCGAGGAGGGCGACTCAGGTTACTGGCACTGCATACTCTAATGCCAGGTTTCCTTAGAAAAGCCTCCAGCGTGACATCTCCAGGCACAGATTCTGTAACAGGTCTGAAAGTGCACCACCATTGCCTCCTTCCCCTTGCTCCGGCGATCACAGATGCCTCTCTGCTACCCTATGACTTCCCCGTTCTCACATTGTTCTTGTCCAACAGCACGGAAACCGGCTTGAGCAGCCAGACTGAAGTGACCCCGAGCTGCCCACACCCACTACAACCTAATGCTTGATCACAACTTCATTAGCTGAGTCTATGCAGTCATTCATGTCGTGCTTCAATCATGCATCTTCCACTACAATGCACTCCCCCATCGTACCTGGGCCTGCGAGTCCGACACCACCAGAATGATCTCACCTTCCCTGAACTGCAGGTGGTTCTCGTCGCCTGATGTGTGAGCTTGGATGGCTTGAGCCTGGCATGGGAAAGATGACACTAGTGAGGAGGTCCTCCCACCATAACCCGCAGTTTGCATCCCTGGTAGCATCACTGGGGAGAGCTTGGATGCGTACAGCATGTCACAGGGGCCATGTTCAGACCCTGTGCTGTTGTTCAGTTAGTAGACCCTTCTCATATCCCACCACAGGATGCAGCACACATGTCTGCAATCAGCCTGTGGGTGCTGGTAAGAACCACAGCTTTAAATTATGGAGGATATTGGTGTCAGTGAAAAATGTGCCCCTGAAGGAATGTGTAGCCCATAGAATCTATTTCCCTTAGCAGCGATGAAAAAGCCACGTGGGATTTCCCAGCAAACCCCCAGCCAAGGTCCAGAATCTGGTCTTTGTCATTGCAGAGACCACCAAAAGGTGCTAGGGACCTCCTGGTTGCATTTTGCTTTCAGGAGCTGCTGATAACATAGTCCTGCTTAAAATGGATCCGTGCCAATGTAGCGATGGCCCTGAAGAGCTTGTAGCAGACAACAGGCAAGGCAGAGGCGCGAGGGGAAGCAGAGGCACGGGGAGGAGAGACTTCCTAGGGACACACAGCTGGCCAGCGTATAGAGCCCCGGGTCTCCTGACTCCCAGCCCAGCATCACAGGAGAGGACCCCAGTGTCTTACCTTGAACAGGAAGCCTGAAGGCAGCTCACTGCTGTCACTGCTTGTTTCGCCATCAGGGGCGAAAGCAAGCACAACCTGAAATCAGAAGGACATTCAATGATCTTCCAGACAATGAATGCTTCAGAACAATCATGGGAGGGCATGGGGGTGGATAGGTGTGCATGGGTAAGAAGCCCCAGTGATATAGGAGCAAAAGCCCTGTAGGCCCCACGGACAATTAAGCCGGGAAGCGCCAGGCTTAATTTTGCAGCAGTAACAAAGGATGGCCGTGCTGTTTGTTTGGACAATGAGGTTTTCCTGACACACCTTACATGTCTGGCCAAACGTAACAGGGTTTAGACAAAGGCAGAGGAAATCAGCCTCATTTAGCAAATATTTTCCCATTCACCCCAGGAAAGCAGTGTAGCAGAGAGTGCACTTCACCGAGCGACTGGTTCCTCGTTGTTGGGAGCTGTTCATCTTCCTCAGCTGGCTGAGCAGGGAAGATGCATCTCAAGAGCTGGAGAAACCCCTGGGACTTGGCCCTACATCCCCTCGTCTTGAAGAGAAGACTGAGGGGGGATTTGAGGGCAGGCTTGAACTCCCCGCAGGGCGGTTCCAAAGAGCATGGAGCTGGACTGTTCTCAGTGGCAAGGAGCAATGCAATGGGCTCAATTGCAGCAAGGCAAATTTAGGTTGGATGTTAGGAAGAACTCCCTCACTTGGAGGGTGGTGAAGCACTGGAACAGGTTCCCCAGAGGGGTGGTGGCATCTCCATCCTTGGAGGTTTTTAAGACCAGGGTAGACAAAACCTTGGCTGGGATGATGTAGTTGGGGCTGGTCCTGCTTTGAGCAGGGGGTGGGACTAGATGTGACCTCCTGAGGTCCCCTCCAAACCTCATTGTCTATGATTCTCAGTGCACCTGTCCATTAACACCACACTGAAGTAGATTGGATAGTAGTGCAGTGGATTTCCCTTCACTCCCACCCTCGACAGCCAAATCCATGTGCCACAGCTAGCCTCTTGCCTGAGTTCCACTTACCTGTGAGGAAACATTGAGTTCTTCATCTGTGCCCTCACTGCTGCTGCAAGCCTCAGCCTCCCTGCTGGGTGGACAAGCCTCCCGCTTGGTGTCTGACATCTGCCAAGGCTGGCTGTTATCAGTGGGTCCCTCTGCTTTCAGTGGACGGGAGTCACCGGTGCTGGGAGGTGGAGTACCTTCGCTGGGAGCATTCACGGCATTTTCAAGGCAAACCGAGCCCTTGCCGAAGGCTGTCCGATTCACTGGCTGACCCAATGCCTCGTTGGTCACTTGGTGTTGGGCGTCTTCCCAATGCTCGGCCTCTTTTCTCAGTTCAGAGGCTGAGGGGTCTTGAGGAGATGAGGTTTCATTGCTGTCTTGGAGGGCTAAGCATTCATCTATCCCTTCCAACTCACAAGTGCTGGGCTCGGGGCTTTCAAGAGCTGGGGCTACATCAGCGGGAGGCGGCTTTCCAGCTTTCCCCACAGCCTCAGCTACAGCTTCGGATAAGATGGTGGCAGCCATGGCTGCTGCAAGGTCTTCAACTCCCTGGAGCAGCCTTTCTGGAGCTCTGGTGGCTTTGTCTGTGGGGACTGTTTGGTTTTCATCTTGGGTTTTGCTGGCACCAGAAGATGTGAGCTCCAGCTCTGGTGCTGATGTGGATTCCCTCTGATTACGTGGTGGTACAGCAGGAGGAGACAGAGGTATCTCAGCCTGGACCTCGCTGCTGCTGGAGGACACGGACTCCAACTCTGTTGCCGATGTGGATTCCCTCTGATTACGTGGTGGTACAGCAGGAGGAGACAGATGTTTTGCAGCCTGGACCTCGGTGCTGCTGCTGGAGGACACGGCCTCCACCTCTGTTGCCGATGTGGATTCTCTCTGGTTACACGATGGTACACTGGGAGAAGACAGAGGTATCTCAGCCTGGACCTCACTGCTGCTGGAGGACACGGCCTCCACGTCTGCTGATGTGGATTCCCGCTGGTTATGCAATGGTCCAGTGGGAGAAGACAGAGGTAACTCAGCTTGGACCTCATTGCTGGTGCTGGAGGACACAGCCTCCACCTCTTCTGCTGATGTGGATTCCCTCTGCTTACACGATGGTACAGTGGGAGAAGACAGAGGTATCTCAGCCTGGACCTCGCTGCTGCTAGAGGACACGGCCTCCACGTTTGCTGCCAGTGTGGATTCTTCCTCGTTACCTCCATCTTCTGCTGTGCCCTGGTGTATCTCAGCCTGGACCTTGCTGCCACTAGAGGACACAGATTCCACCTCTGCTGCTGATGTGGATTCTCTTTTGCTAGGTGATAATTCGGCAGGAGGAGATAAAGGCATCTCAGCCTGGACTTCGCTGCCCACAGAGGACATGGATTCTCTCTTATCGCCCGATAAATCACCAAGAGGAGTCTTTGGGATCCCATCTACAGTGTTTCCCAGGGACATGAATGAAACAGGAGGGCTCACGGGAGAGGAGATGACGAGCGAGCGCCTGTTACTGCAAAGAGGGAGAGACAGTGATTGGATTCGCTCTTTCTACAGGAGACACGGAGCTGTCACAGATTTGGAGACCTTGCACTTCCCACCTGGATACAGCGTCATCTAGCACCCCCTCCCCTGAACAAGAGCATGTCCCAAGGAAACCAACAGGAGGTTCAGCAAGATACATATTTCTTTTCATCTGCTTGAACACTATACATCAGGGATTGCTATGTGACAATTATCTTGGCCACTTCCAGGCACTGAACCCGAGATCTCTTCAGCTGAATGATGTGTCTCTGTTTTAAGCCAAAAGGAGTCAGTTCTGTACACTGAAACTAAAACAAGCCTAACTTTTCCGGGCCTAGAGGAAGGGGGTTATGGATGGAGATGGTTATATGTATGCGGTACTGAGCAGTCACACCTACATGGGATGACATCTGAATGCGCCCTGTCAGGAGGCTGGGTTTTTTAATGGGTTTTCTGAGACCCTGTGAAGCAAATATACCTAGTTAAATGTCTCTTAAGTTTTCAGGGATAATAGCATTGAAATCAAAACACCTTTGCCAAGGCAGGTACAATCGCCAGGGTTTCTTTTTCCAGGAGCTGGATGGGGATCAGTGGCACCTGCCTCTGTGAGAGAGGCCAGGTCTTAGAAGTGACTAGCAAGTTGAAGAGACATTGAAAGGCTTTGATTTTCAGAGAGTAAATGCTCAGCCCTGCTCACGAACTGAGCCCCACTGAAGAGCTTCAATGTGGAGACCCAGAAACAGGAAGCGTCAGCCGAAACCATTAGCTGGTTTTGAAAATGTCAGCTTGAATTGCTCCAAGCTGCTCCAAGCTTGAGTTGCAATCATCAGTGTCATTCTCCTTCTGATATTTGCAGCATTGTCTTTAGGTGAATTAAAAAAAGAAGGAACTTTGGACCACCAGGGTCTGAAATATTAGGATACACTTTCCAAAAGGGCTTAAGGGACTTAGGAGCTGAGGTGTCACTGAAAGCCAACAGGACTTAAGCGTTTTGGGCACTTTTGAGAAATTTATTTGTGATCCAATACGGACAGCTAGACCTTCTAGACCTTCCCTCCCGAGGGAACTAGACAGCCCTTTACCTTGACACTCCCTTGATGATGAAGACCTTGCTGGAGTGCTGCTTTTCCAGCTTGCCCATCACGTCGTAGAGGTCATGGTTCAGCTGAAAGCAGTGAGAGAGAAGCAAGCATCAGACCCTGTGCTCCTGGGCTGGCTCTTCTTCCTGCTCTCAAAGATCAGGCATCTGTGTGGTCCCTCCTTGAGCCTCTTTGAGCAGCGACTCCCCACCCCAGTCCAAACCACCATCTTCACGCGCACAACCTGGAGGGCTCTAGGCAGAAAGTGGCTTCTGGTGGGTTCCTCAAGCTCAACTTTCCCTGTAACCAGGCACCAGAGATGAATTGCCCATGCCAATGGCTGGAGGTTCAGTTCCAATGGGATCCCCTGCATTTTTAATATTGAGGTTGATGAATCCTTGCCCAAAATGACCCAGTGGGACAGGGCATTCTCTGCCTCTTGCTATGATCAAAATGGGATGCTTTTTCTGGAAAGGTGGCTTGAGTCTAGAACAGGACATTGGGCTCAGGACAAGTGGGACTGGAAGAAATGCCAGGACTGGTGTTATTCAGGAGGTCCTGAATAGTGGGGAGATGACCCACTAGTCTCTTTGAGAAATGAACCTATGAAAAGCATGCTCACAGCACTGGGCCATGCTACCAACACGGGTTACCAGCAAAAACAGAGCAACATTATACTGGTCCTTTTGGCATTACATTGAAAAGGGACACAACTACTTGCAAGATCCCCAGGTGGGGCTGCAGGGCAAATACGGAGGGTTTTAACCTTCCTGATCATCTTCTAGCTGGCAGGGACAGAAGATTACTGCTACTGCTTGAAGGAACAGCTCTTAATAAAGCTTTAGAGCAGCATTTAATAAGGCATGTATTTGAAAGGATCAGTGTCTCACCTTGCTCATTTCCTTGTAGAAGATGTCTCTTAAATTGGAAATGTTCTGGAAGATGGTCACGTAGCAAGCAATCCGGCTGTTTGAAAGGGGGAAAAAAAACACCCCTCACAAACTGAAGTTGTGTCACGCAGCGAAAGGAACAGAAGGTGGAAGAAATTAAGAGAACAGTTTGCAGCGCTGATTGGGTAATTAACCATTGGCGCAGCTTCTGCGGGGATGGGTTAGAGTCTCCAGGACTTGAAATCAAGACTGGATGTCTTTTTTTTTTTTTTTTTTATTAAAGATATGTTATCACTCCAGCAGAAGGCCTGGTTTTAATGCAGAAGAGAGTGGCAAGATTGCACGGCACGTACTATATTCAGGGCATCAAAATAAGTGATCAGATCAGGCCCTTCATAATAAAATACATAAAAACGAACGGCAATGCTAATCTTCTGCAGGGCCAGAGTCCCTTTTAGGTAAGGAGTATAAATCACTGTCTCTACAGAATCCTGATGGTTAGGCACGGCTGTAGTCATTCATATGGTGAAACTGAGGCACACGAACAGCGGTGAAGTGATTTATGGGTATGCGACAGAGCTGAGACTAGAACCCAGGCATCCGGACTCTCCGAAGGAGGGGAGGCCCCCTTCCTAGCTCTGCAGCTTTCTACATAAGTCACCACCCGCGTGACTTCATATGATTAGAGGAACAGGACATTTTCTGAGCAGCGTACGAGCTCCCACACTCTGCTTCCCTTTTTTATTTAAGCAAACTGTGTGAATGGAGCCGGCGGGTGGGCAGAAATAACCAGCACGTTGCGCTGTTCTGGTTTAATTCCCCATATTCAAGACTGCATTTAGAATGGTCTCCAGCTGGGAGAGCGGGTGGGGAGGTTTGTTAATATTGCATTTTAACTACCTTTGCAGCAGCGGGATGCTGATAGACCTCGTCCCCCTGCTTTACCTCTGGCAGGTTCGGGTGCTTTTGGGAAATGTGCCCTGTTGCACACTAGTGTTGATTGTGTAGTTTTAGGAAGAGGTGCCTGGACTGGTTTAGATAGGGATGATCCTGCCTTGGTTGTGAACTCCAGAGGGCCCTGCCAGCCCACCTTTTCTATCACTGGATATGATAGGACTGACACCAGAGTGAGACCCTAGAACGATCTCATCTTCATTTTATAGGTGGGGAAACCGAGGCACAAAGCAATTCAACGAGTCACATACAGTAAACACGTGGAAAAGCCAGGTGCAGAACCCAGATCCCATGGCTAGCTGGAAGCTCTCACACAAAATGGGGGTTTTGGTCCAAAAAAGTAAGTCGTTTTGTTGAAATCAAAAGGTTCAGCAAAAAAACTGGCATCAGTTTTGACAAAGATTTGCCTAGGAAGATTTTTTTCAGGCCAGGGGAGGGGGATCTGGGAGGAAAGGGACCCAGCCTGACCTGGCCAGCAAAGCAGCCATTCCAACACAATTGGGCTTTGTACAAATGTTCAAAAGGGTTGTGTCCATTCCTGCCCTGAGCAGAAAACCAAGTTGCAAAACCTCCAAAACTCTTGTGAAACAGCACTGTCCTGCAGGCTGCTCTCACCCACGTGGCACCGAATTTTCACACTGCCCTCGGCCACCGCTGTCTTAGGGCTGAGCTTTCCCTGGGCTGCTCTGTGCACCAGTTCTGTTCACATCCAACGGCTTGCAAATGAAAAGGAGCAACAGAGGAAATGGTGGGGCAGGGTGGGAACTAGAAGGCAAAGCTGCTTTCGGCTCTCTAGCCCATGAAGCCTACAGTTTTGCCTCACTGATGTCACCTCTGTCGTGCTGCTTGTTGCAATAAAGAAATGCAGAATGGGACAGAACTGAAAGTAACCTGCCAGGCATCGTGGACGACAGTGGCCTCTCGTTCCTGAAACCCTGCTTCCATCTAGTGGCCATGATTCATCCAACCTTTCCAACCCAAGCCCCTTCCCAAGGACCAATACGGCGACCACCTCGATACCTGATGCATGGAAGATACCGAATTTTGGCCGATTTTTTAAAATGAAATCCTCATATTTTCCCAAGGAGGAAGCAACTGTGACCACCTGAAACCTGAGATCCTGCTCCTGCCTTTGTTCAAGTTAATTTGCATCATTACAGAACCTCTCAAGAGAGGCTAAGGCCGGCCTGCCCAGAGGAATTTTCCATCTATTGATTCCTCTGTGAAATGCTATGAAATATGAACTTTCATTTCTACCCAGGAGAACATTTACAATCTTTTCTCCAATGCCTGGTGAAGGGTGTTTGTGCCTGAAAGCTTGCAATTAAAGACATTCATTTGCAAAAATCTTGTTGGTCTAATAAAACATATCATGAGCCCAGATTGCTTTTCCCAAGGTTGGGGAGTTAATGCAACATCATCCCCATTCAAAGTGGGATAACTGATAAAGAGGTGAAGGCTTCATTTTTGAAGAGGCTGGCTGATTTTGGGTGCCTGTTTTGGGACGCTTCAAGGGTCTGCATCTGAATACAGGCGCCAAGCTTTCAACTGCACTCAGCACTCCAGACTGATGTACCATATGTATTTGCATACCCCGTTTCCCCAAATAAAGGCACACACCTTGTTCTGAGAAGGAAGAATGAAGAGAAAACCATGTTTCCTTTTAACACAACTGTTGAGAATCAGGTTCCTCATTTAAGATGCACACCCAATTTCCTATTGTTAATTTTCAGGAAGAAGGGTGTGCACGGTACCTGAATAAATACAGTCATTGGTGAGCAAGAACTGATGCTTGATCAGGTCCTTGCCTGTGCTTGAGGGATGGGATCATCTCACTGCTGTGTGCCTAGACAAGACAATCGCTGGCTTGCCCATGGGATCGCTCCTTCTTCTTCCTACCCGCAACCATCTCCCAACAAGCAGCAGTGAGAAGTAGTGTATGAGGTAGAAACCTCAATACCCCCTTAGATAATATGGCAGGTTGGATCAGAGATGGTGTAGTGTCATTGGCAGGACAACTGGGTGGATCTGATCTGTGTTTCTTATTCATTCGGGTTTTGTTTAGTTTTTTTTAAGAGGAGTGAATTTGCTTTTTTTAATTACCAGCTGCAGTAAGCGACTCAGAATTGAAGCCTGTTGGGATCTTCCCTGCCTGGGTTCAAGATCATTTGTATTTTCCACCACTACAGATGCTGACCCTGCATTCGACTGCTCCGCGGACAAGCATATCGCTTCAGTGAAAAGGGAAGAGGAAGTCGTTCCTCAGCTATCTTTCTGTCTCCTTCTGCACCCACAGGAACATAAGCGCCATACTACGTCAGACCAGTTGTCTGCCCAGCCCAGAGTCCCATTTCCAATGGTGGTAGGAGCAGCTGCTTTAGAGGGTGAGCATGTGAACAGAGTATCCTTAAAGTGATCCCTTGTAATACCCTCCCCTGGTATCCCTCGGCATTGGTTTAGGGACGTCAGTAGACAACTAATGGATCTATCATCCATGAATTTGTCCAGTTCAGCCCTTCTCAACAGGGTGCTGCAGCACAGTGGGATGCCTTGCGATTCTTTCAAGGGTGCCATGCAACATTAATACTGTTTGGGTTTATCTTGTGAATCATGTTTGCACACCTGAGCTTTCAAATAGGAATCTGCAGTGTTAAAAAAAAACCATTCTGACCTGCTGTGGGCTGAGTTCTTTGCAGCAGAAAAATTGCTCTATTAGTTTTTCTATGGTCAAAAAAAGACTGAAAAACGAAGAGCCTGCATTTTCTAAGTGGCGCCTTGAGTTTAACCAAAGGCACCACGAGTCTAACGAAGGGTGCCTTCAATTTAAAATGGTTGAGAACTACTGGTCTAGTCCCTTTTTGAACCTGGCCGTACTCTCTGCCTCCACAACCTCCCGTGGCAACAAGTTCCACAAGTGAGCTATGCACCGTGTAAAAAGGGACTTCTTGATTTTTTTTTTTAAACTGGTCTTCTCCTAACTTCAGCGAGTGTCCCCTCCTCCTCCTATTCTGGGACTTGGTGAACAACAGTTCCCTTTTCACTAAGCTCATGCCTTGCAGGATTTTATAGACCTGCTTTGACCCTTCTCTGCCACTGCCCTGGCCATGGCAAGCAGAACTCTGCTATGCCAAGGAAATGGGTTTTTTCTTTCGTCTTCTTTTTTAAAGCAAGGTGTAACAGGAAGCCTACAGCTCCTGTTACTTTAAGAGGGAAAAACAGGGGTAAGCACTGCTTGGGCCACCAAATGAAGGTTAGCCACAAAGGAAGGGCTGGTCAGAGGCCAGAAGCTGAGCGTGCAATGCTTAAGACTGTGCTACATGCACAATGATAGTCTATAGGACAGAGCCTATGGAAGCAAGAGAGCCACTGCTATAGGAGTCAGGGTAGCAACAAGAAGCTGCCCATTACAATGAGAGGGAGGCAGCTGTCCGAGGGAAGTCACCCGATGGGAAGAGTGTAGGGCTTGAGAAAAATATAAGCCAGGACCTGAGCCAGCCTGGCTCTGGAAGCTGCAGAGGGAAGAGCTCTGTAGGGACAGGGCTGTAGCTGCATAACTCACTGAGATCTGGATACAAATGGGAACTGGAGAGTAAGAAACTGAGACTTTGCAGGGAGCAGGGACTCGGGAGGAAGGTGGTTTTGGTGTGCAGCCAGTGAGCCAAGGATTTGGTGGTACAGCCAGGGTGCTTGCGTTTTGTTTTGTGGTTTAGATTGGTGCACCGGGTTTGGGACCGTAGCGGGGGGTCAGGAGGTCCCAGTAGTGCCAGACAGGTACAGTGAGGCTTGAGCCTGCCAGAGGCAGGGCACAAGCTGCATTATAGCCCAAGAGGGGCAGAAAGGGAGGTCAGAAGCCTAACAAGGGTCAGGGACCCAGAGCCTGAGAAAGGGTAGAGACAGGGTCAAGGACCCCATGCCGAGATAGGTAGAGCCTAGGTTAGGGACCCACAGCCTAAGAGAGCAGAAAGTAGGGCCAGAGGCCCTCAGCCCACAGGGGCAGTGACTGGCAAGGGCATAGATGCCTGGTGAAACATGGCATGAGACTGGGAACTGAATTGATTAATCGCTAGCACCTGTGAGGCATGGGCACGGCTATTGTGGGGGTGGTTGGAGGCTGTGATTAGCCCATAAGGCAACAAGTGTCCTGGGGGCATGTATGGACCTGGAGGGCCAACTAAGTGCAAGGACTGGAGCAAGTCCAGCAGGGTCTGCGGGGATCTGCTGGCAGGAGGCCAGTGTGGAGCTTGCTCTAAGCACTTGGGACAGCCTCCCTTTCCAAACTACTAAGGACATCAAGGTGTTGCAGGCAGGAATGAAGGGAGGGTGCCTAGAGCCAGAGCAGGACAGGAGCTGAATGGCCACCATGGGGCATCTCAGCCACCCCTGGGACACCGGTCCTATTACACAAGGTGACGGTGGGGTGGTTGTGTGGCTGCTTTATCCGCCCAGGATCGGATGTTACCTGCTATAGAGAACAGGCAGCTCTTCTCGAAGTTCCTTGTTCAGATCCTCAAACACAGTCTGAGCCTTATTGAACTCCTCTTCAGCCTGCGTGAGAGAGACAGAGCCCACAGTCCCACAAACCACAGCAACACGGAGCGGGGAATTAACAAAACTAGAAGCCAAGTGTTGCTGGGCATGAGAAAACCTAGCTAAGTGCTACAACATGGCGCTAGAGGTGATGGGTGCTAGCTTGGGCAGCAAGAGCCAGCCCCAGAGACAGGTATCCATTTCAACACCAAGCCTCCTTCACTCTTCCTAAGGGCCCAGAGATTCATCTGGGCCTCAGTGGTCACAACTGAACATGCGCTTTACTGCACATGAGTCTAATTTAATGCACAGTAAAGCATTGCAATCTACACATGCGCTGCAATTAGTGCACAGTAGATTAATTTACTCTGGCGTAGGCCAGTCCTGTTAGACACAGGTACTTTTCTACACTGCAGTAAAATACAGCACTTAAATGCATATTGGATGGTCATGTCGGGATTAGTTTACTCTGGCTCAAACTGAGCTCGAGCATATTCAGTTGCATGAATTGCATGCGTAGATGTGCCCAGTATTGTCAGAGCAAGACCATAGGGCATCTGCAATTATCGGGCAGAATCTGCCTGTCCTAGCAGGCTATTAAGCAACTCTTCTACCCAAGTAAAACGCCTTGCGACTGCAGTGCAGTGCCTCCAGGACAAATCCAGATGCATCTAGGCAAGATCTAAGCCCTGCAGGAGCACTCTTAGCTTGCACCTGGTCTGAGCTGTCTTTACCTTGGCAATCTTGGCTTCGTCTTTCTTCTTGACATTCTGCAGTGCCTCCAGGTGATGCCTGGCACTGTCATAGTCCACCATCTTCCGCCCCCGCTTGGCAATGCGCTCCTGTTTGAACACCAGGCACATGTGATAAGGCTGGGAGAGGAGCAGGGATGAGCCACTGGTTC